TATCATGACTGCTGTCTTTTTGGTTATTATTGTTAAAAATGAAAATGCAGGATTATTATTATTAGTAATAAAATTATACCCTGTATTTCTGCTTATTAAGCACTCAGTAGACTTGTCAACATTGATTCCTGAAGGTCTGAGAAGAGCATTTCCAATAACTTCAACAGAAGTATTTCTATGTCTAACTCCTATTTCTAAGCAAGCTCTCTTGGCCGTTCCTTTAGCCCTCTGACTTGGAAGTCTAAGTAGTTTCTATGGTTTCTTTACTAAGGCATGCTTCCAAGTTAGCCCAACAATCTTTCAGCTTTCACAGCATGCCTGGTCTTGATTCTTTTGTCAGTTATTCAAGACAAAGGGAAATTTTACAAAACAAATCTAATTTCTAAGAGGGTTAGGTAACTTCCAGAGAGGGGAATTCAAACTCACTAATTGATACCTGAAATGGCCGGGCCATGTGTCCTATTGAGGACTTGCAGGTACCTGTTTACTATAACACTGAAACATGGGAGAGGGGCAAGAGAGGGGCAACTTTGGATGGTTGGTAATGTGTGTTTTGATCTGGATGTGTCCTGTCATGTTTTCGGGTCAGGAAAGTAAGTTACAGGAAATAGCATTTGTCACTAAGAAAAATATTTTGAAACCCAATTCCTTGGAACTATGAAAAAAAGAAAGAAAACAAAGAAATAACACCGTGATTCCTGGAGTTCATTTTCAACTGCTTCTTGAGACGCTGAGAAGTTGTTCTGAATATTTCCTATAATCCCCTTCACCAGGACAGATTCTTTCAAGTTTTCCAGTCACTGCTCTTCATCCTATGGATAAAGTTTAGGGTTTCTACCCCCTCTGCAGATGCTCCTTTTCTCAGCAGTGACTACTGACTTTCTCAGTCAGATTTTGACTGAAATACAGAATTGTATTCATTTATCTCAAAGGAATAGTACTTGATGGTCATAAAAACAAAGAACAATTTTCAGTGGAAAGTCCTTATTCAGGTAGCTGTGGATAGTAATTATTTTCTCTGTAAAATTTTTGGCTTTGATTTCTTTTCATGTTCATTGAATATGAAATCAATAGTGCTATTACTAAAAAACAAACAGAAATTCCAGTTTAGCTCTTAAGACTGATATACCAATTTTAAGCAGCATCCCAACCTCAGGTGGTGTTGGAAGTGATGCTGCATAATGAAGTGAAGCTCTACCAGTGAGGTGAACATGTCTACCATTAAGGCCCTCAAGAGACTCCACCAGAGAACAGAATATTATTATTAGAATAATTGTATATTTGTGAAATGAAGCTGTTACAACTACTCTCAAAACCTAATAATACTTTCATTGCAGTCTTCATTGAAGCATTCTTTTTATTAAAAAAAAATAAAGTAGAATATTAAAATTAGGTAACAATTAGGTAGCTAAGTATACTTTTCACACTATTCTTTTGTATGTATTTCAAAGGGGACATTTATTGCTAAATAATAAGGAACTGATAAAGATTCCTTAATTTCCCTGAAAAATTGTTACCGTGACCATATTCAGATTGGTCTGACTGTAATATTTCCATGAATCATGCTGGATTGGTGAGTCAACTTTTCTACAAGTGCTATATCCCAAATCCATGCAGCTGTAGGAGGAGGAATTATATTTAGATTTCAAATGGTAAAAAAGCTCAGGTTTACTGCCCATGAGCAGTAACAATTGTAACAGATTTTTAGCTCAGTTTGGGTAAATTAAATCAAGGGATGAGAGGATTTAAGTACAGGTGGGCTGCTGTTTTTGTTATTTCACTAAAGATACCATACTACAGCTTTTTAGTAGGATTGCCACATGTGACAGTATGAGTTTATTATGCTACAATTTATCCGATGAGAGGATTTAAGTACAGGTGGGCTGCTGTTTTTGTTATTTCACTAAAGATACCATACTACAGCTTTTTAATAGGATTGCCACATGTGACAGTATGAGTTTATTATGCTACAATTTATCCAATACATTGCTAAACAATTGTAATTAGTGTGATGCAAGCAAACAATTCCATATAAATTCAGA